ACGGGGACCACAGCGACCACGGCGACCATTTCGAAGACGACATGCGTTCTCGCCACATCACCGGCTACTGCTTAGCTCTCGCTCTTCTGCCGAGACATCATCGGCATCCTCAGTCGCCTCGTCCTTCTAATCCTCCTGCTCCTCCGCCCACCTCGTTTTCCTCCCCCTTCGCATCTTCATGTTCTTTTCCTTCGCGTTCCCCCCCGGTGGCTCCCAGGGGAGCCGCGACAGAGCACGGCAGCCGTCCGGGTACCATTGCATTTCTCAGGGATCGCGCGCTTCCCATTCCATCCATCTGGCCGAACGGCAGAGGTTGCCGACGCTATAGGGCACTTGCCGCCAGAACGATTGGGACACACTCGAACCAGTTCGACATCCACACAGCCGGGAAATATGTGATAAAACATGCAGCAAAACGATCGTTTTGAATGATCTGCAGACGGCCGCGCCCAAATAATATAATTAAGTGACATTCGCCTTTCAATGTTGGCAGCTGTGCAAGCGTGCGCCATGGGCCAGGTCATTGATATGTCATGTTTTGGCTTGCGCGCCCAGTGGGTGGCGACATTGGGAGGCGGACGCCACTTAATGCCCGGGTGCTCTTCCGACTTAATCCTTCGCGGGGCCGCCGGTGTGGGCGGTTCCACGATCTGCCGTGCGACTTCGTTCCCGCAGTCGGATGGCTAACGTGCACCGCGTAATGCAGACGAAACGTTCTTCAGTAACATTGACAGGCGGATGTCGCTTCCTGCGGCAGGTCCCGCCTGGTCTACATCGTTTTGACTTCCATCCTTTTGCAATTTTTCACGGGGATGTAAATTTGTTCGAGTCGCGCGGGGATTGACTCATCGACGCGGTCTGTTCAGGCACGTTCAGGTATGCGGCCATTTTCGCTCCAGGTTCACTGGCGGAGACCTGTGGGGGGGGGGGTATTGCATTCTGGAGTTTATTTCGCTTCATGCCTTCGCCCACTTGCTGGGCGAAGCGCGCCTCGGTCAAACTGCCCGGCAAGCTCGCTAGTACTTCCGGCGTCGCGTTGTCCTTGAAGCGGGAGTTTCGGAAGTTTAAGAGCGCGCGCGCAAGGTCGCTCACCAGCGGGAGGGCGCGCGCTCGGGCCTCTGACGCGCCGTGGCCCTGATATTGACTTGCCCCGCGGCCGAACTGAACTGTTTTTCCTGTCGCGCGGAGGGTCAATCTTGACGCGTCGGCCTACTGGACGTTTTTCCCAGTATATGTATATATATAGACACATATATATGTATGTATCTATGTATGTATGTATGTATGTATGCATGCATGCATGCATGTATGTATGTATGTATGTATGTATGTATGTATGAACGGATGTACAAATACATATTTCGCCACGGCGACCGTCGGCAAACACAGACGGAAATGCAACGATGCCGAGGACAACGGGAAGCCAACGGAGGTGAAGGTCGCCCCATCCAAGGTCCCTGCCCCCCCCAAAAGCTGGGCCGGGCGGCTTTTGCGTGCGATGGGCGGGGCCCCGCCAGATTTATTGTTTCACGAGATTCCTCTGGTTCAGCCGATTCGAGATTCTTCCAATGGAAAAGTGGATACACCAAGATTCCGTCTCGTTCCCAGATGCCGCCAGCCTTGGATCGGCCCGGCGTACGATACGGGTGCAAAATTGTCGCCTCCCTGCCGTGTTGGGGTCGTCGCGAGGTCACGTTCAGATCATATCTGTCAGGGTTTCGCCCCTTGCCGCTGGCCCCCTCTTTCGGATAATGGGGCATGCAGAAACTATGTTGTGAGGCCTGGGCGCCGTCGAGAAGCGGCGTCGGATTTCCGAACAGGAGGCGCTGGAGATATGAGCGTGCCCAAACCCATCAAATGCTTTAGGGCAATCGCAGATGTTGGCCTCTTGGGCCCCTTTTGGGTGTGTTTTTGGATCGTTTTGGGGGGCCCCTCGGGAGCCCATTGGGCCGTGTTGGGACCATTTTGGGCGCCTTGGATCATTTTTGGGTTCTTGAGCCGTTTCGGAGGCATCTCGTACCGTTTTGTTTTTTCCTTATGAAGGATTGTGGCATCGAAAGCGCGAGAAACGGGTCATTTACGAGGGATCGTGGGTTCGGGGACGCAGGCATTGCGTATTTGCACGAGGGTATTGGTTCGGAGATGCGAACATGGTGTCATTTACAAGGAATCGTGGTCTCGGGAGCGCAAGCACAGCGCAATTTGCGAGGGATTGTGGCTTCATCGTCTTTGATCTGAGCCCTCTTGGAGCCATTTTGTGGTCATGGGGTCATCTTGCGATCGTATTCAGGCGAACTCTGAACACGCGTGCGCAACGGGACATCTTGCCGAGGGGTCGCTTGCAAACGCATCTTCCTGCGAGTTTCCATGGATTTTGTTGTTCGAGCCAAGTCGTACCCTGCACGGTGCAATGGAAAAAAGGGGGCATGGGGGGAACAGGAGGACTTCCGAACTTGGCGGGCGCCCTCTCTTCGGCGACACCCTCGCCTCTGTCATCGAAGGGCCCCGCCGCCAGGGCAGACGGCTGGAAGCGTGGTCAGGGCAGAGATCGGCAACTGCAGCTTGGGCGAATGTCATAAATATGGAAATCACAACGTGTCCCCAGGGGCTCCGACCGCCCATGTCGTCGACGAGGCCCCTGGAGGGGTACGTGTAATGCCCGCCACTGGGCTCTCCGCCCCAAGCGCCCCCGCCGAAGAGAGTGTATTTGGAGGCAGAACGGGTAGTCGTGGATGGGCGCGAATGGGGCAGGCGCCGAAGCGAAAACGCAATCCTGAAGGACCGAAGGCGTCCCGGATGGAAAGTTCACCCAGGAAGGAAAGCAATTGTGAGTTCATGTGTGTGTGTGTGGACAGTGATGCGCGGGAAGGGCGGGTTCAACGACCGACCCGCGGTCAGGGAATTTCTCATAGCCGTCGAGGGGGGTAACGGGCATGGGAGAAAGGGTGGGAAGGATGGACGAGCAGGGGTGATCGGGATAGAAGTTGGGAAGAGGTGGGGCAGGAGAAGGGGGCACGGGGAGGGTCACTGGTTTTACCATCACAAGAGTGATGCTGCATACTACGGGATACTTTCTGTCATATATGGGCGGCGAGAACACACTGAAGGGCAACACGACCAAATACGCCGAACGATCTACACGACGTTTGACGGTGCGTACACCTACCACCACGAGTACCTCCATCGTTGCCAATGTTCACCCACTTCACTGGTTCGAGCGAGTTGAAAGCCAAGCAACAGGTAGAACGAGACATGCTGACGCACATTGCCAAGCCTGAAAATGTCCAAACTTTTGGTTGCCGAGCCAAGGTTGGGCATCGCAGCCAACATCACAAAACTAGTGGCTTATTTTTTAATCTACATGGACAAGACGGAATGGCCAGCACGAAAATTGGATGCCACACCTGGGTGTACTTGCGAATTGAGGGACCTTGCGCGACAATGTCAAGCCAGTACATACGTAGGACCTTGCAGTAACATTGTGGAAGACTTAGAGCATACACCACTTTGAAGTTACACCCAGGGACGGGGTGGTGGTGGTGGTGGGGGGGCATGTGGGGCAACCCGCTGGGACCTCGTCCGCCGCCCCTGGTGGACCGCGCCGAAGATGCCTTGGGAGAGCGTACCCAAACGTGAACGACCGGCCAAAACGCTGCCCATTGCGAAGTCACGGTGGCAGCCGATACACAGAGTGTTGAAATATTCCAGCTTGTGTAGCTTTTGCGCAGGGCCCTGAAACGTTTGATGTTCGGCACGCTACAACGACATTGACATACATGTTTGCGCATTTTCGGCGTACATCAGCACCACCACTACACGATGCGTGCTGGTAACGCCCACGGGGAGTACCTGCAGGGACCATCGCCCTCGAAGCTGAACTCCTTGCTTTTGGTACTGCCAGATGCTATGGACGAATCTACGGCTGTAGCGGCTGTATAGGCACCGCGTGGAGGCGCAAGTACCGTTCGGGTCCCGCCAGACATTTTTTCCCGGAAAGGGCATAGGCCCAGGGTTCTCTTTTAGTATGTAAACTTGTCCCCGGTGCCTCAACTGAGGTGGGCCGGCGGATTCTTTCCCTGATGAATATCGAGGTCGAGGTGGGCCGGCGGATTGAAATTTGAGGATGTCTGAGGCGAAATGCTTGTTTTTGAAATCCCGATCGATAAATCACAGGGTGCGGGCCACCCCAGCACGAACGCACCCCAGCACGACCACACCCCAGCACGACCCCACCCCAGCACGACCCCACCCCAGCACGACCAAACCCCAGCACGACCACACCCCAGCAATACCCCACCCCAGCACGACCCCACCCCAGCAAGACCATCACCCAGCACGACCACACCCCAGCACGACCTCACCACAGCACGACCTCACCACAGCACGACCACACCCCAGCACGACCACGCCCCAGCACGACCACGCCCCAGCACGACCACCCCCCAGCATGACTACCCCCCAAGCACGACCACCCCCCAGCACGACCACCCCCCAGCACGACCACACCCCAGCACGACCACTCCCCAGCACGACCACACCGCCTTGGTTGAGTGGTTGCCTGTCGTCGTGGAATGTTTCGTGGGGTGTCTCGTGGACTGTTTCGCGGGGTGTCTCGTGAAATGTTTCCAGGAAAACGTTGAAAACGGTCGCCCGTGTCTCGTGGAATGTTTCGCGGGGTGTCTCGTGGAAGTGCCCGTCGCCCAATACGGTGTCGTGAAAACGTTTCCATGCATGCGGTTCTATATCCCTTTCCGGGTTCGTGGGTCCATCATGTTCCCCAGAAGGCCAGCGCGTCCATGCCACGCAGGTTGGAGCCGAAAGGGGGTGCCCAGGGGACCTGAGCCGAAATGCATGAGCCAACATAGCTACGGAGGGGGAGGGGGAAGGGATAAGAATCGGCCGAGGGGGAGGGATTGGGGAGAGGGGGATAGGGAGGGACATGTTGGAGGTTAAATGGGCTGTGGATGGAGGGGATTGTCTCGACCGTTCGTTCGTCTGAGGTGTAGCGAGCTCGAGAAGCGCTACTCTGAGCTGCTGTCGAAAGCCGAGGATACAGCTGAGAAGGACTTCGGCGAATAAGCACCAGTAAGAACTCACTCCTGCTGCTCTCTCCTTTCTCATCTTCCTCTAGGTTCTTGGTCCTCCTACATGTGATGCTGTTCCTACCGTTCCTGCTGCTGACGATCCTCGTCCTGCCTCAGTTTCTGATGCTGCTGCCGTTTCACATATTCCTTCTCTGCTCACGGCCGCTCATTTTTCTGAACCTGGAGTGGCTAGCAACACCGCTGCCATATCACAGCTTTCAGGACCAGCCCTCCCTCCCCGAGCCTGAGCGGCAAGGCTTGAGGCTGCGGTTTGAGAGCGTCGATCGCCGCGCTGCCGCTTGCCAGTTGCCCTCTTGTTCGCTGAGACGGTCCAGGGAGGACAATCACGCGCTCTCTGTCTCTCTCTCTCTCTCGGTTTCTCCCCCCATGTCCCCAAGTAAACTTTTCAAACTCAGTCCGTGACCACGGAAAGTCGGCAGGCAAGTCTGCCGCAGGACTCGAGCCCCGACAGAGCGTCTAAATGTTGGCATGGACAACCGCTTAACCACATTCCGACTCCTTGCTCGCCGAGCTCTACACCGAAGTCGCAGGCGCAGCGGTTTTGCGGTCAGGCGGGCGCAACACCATTAAGACGACGTGGAGACCACCTAGGAGCTTACATCATTCGCACTAATATCCAGTGACCTTTCGTCCAGACCGCCACCGTGCTTGCCACATGCATTTCAGATACCTCTTGGGGTTTGACCATTGAGAGTGGCCGTCTTGAGGTAATCTGCAGGCAGGCTGAATGTCGGTGCGGCGCTGGGTCTTTCAATTGCCCGCCGCCTCAATCTTCCCATCCAGTTTTCGCGCATCCGTGTAAGCCTTCCACGGAGGTTCTGGGGGCTGCTACCTGATGAGGCGCGACCTGCTGCTTTTGGCAGCCTATTCCCGCCGCTTTCAATGATTCGCCTGGCGGGTAACACCGCGCCGTAATGGTGGTTGCAAGACCTGAGCGCTTCAGTGGTGGTATGGTTTATCTCTGTCAATCAGGAGTAGAACTGATGGGCGTATTAGTCGGACTCCTGGCTCAAATGGCTCAAGGCTCAAGCAACTGTCTTCCAAATTCTTCACGCTTCGCCGTCTGCGCCGTCTGGCGCTGGCCGCCTAGGCAGCCGCCCGCTTAGGCCGCCTCGCCCGCGCGTGTAATTAGATCGGCCCGCGGCCCGGACCTTTCACCACGGCGCCTGCGCTTTCGCTTGCGCCCGCGAGGAAAAAATATCTCCACCAACCCCGTAGCCACTGGCTCAAGCCGTCGATATGGCGGGAACACCTGCTCGAGGGGGCGCCCGACGTTGCGTTCGCGTGGCCAGGCCCGCGCCCGGCCCCCCGCCGCGCCGCCATCACGGCGCCCCCCCCGGCGGCCGCCGCCATCCCCCCTCAGTGGTCGCGCCCTTAGCATCATGGAGGGGGCCCGGACTCCTGGGGACTTCGGGACGGAAGGTTTTCGAGAGTTAGTGTGCAGGGCCTGGGGGCCTTGGCAGTGCCAGGGGACCATACCGTGCCCGGGTCCCTCGGACCCGAACTTCCACCAGGTCAGCACACCCCAGCGGATGGTGACGCAGGTCGGGATCGCTCTGCTCGTGTCGCTCAGGCCTCCGATGCCCCCCATCCGGCTGGTGCAGCCCCGCTCGCGGCCGATCGATCCGATCCGTCTACACCCAGCCATGCAGCCGTTAGCTGCTTCCCCCAAGCCGACGATCGCGGATTGAATCGCTCCCCTGGCCATGACCAAGACGACGACGATGATACACCCAACTATGTGGCCGTTAGCCACCACCCCAGAGACGACGATGACACACCCAATAATGTGGCCGTGACGACGACGATCAGTCTTCACCAGCGCTCATGTCTCCCAGTCACCCCCCTGGTGCAGCCGTCGGCAACGTGATTGACATGGTGGACGCCCAGCACCCCCCGGCGCGGGTCGCCGAACGCAGCCTCCTTCTCCAGTTACAGTGGCCGTTAGCCCCCCCCAGAGAAGAGGCGGCCCCACCGATACCATACTCACCAGTGCTCGTGACCGTTGGCCACCGCCCTGGCCCCGCCGTCGGCAACGCGTTGGACATGGCGGACGACCAGCCCCCCCCCGGCGAGAGCCGCCGTATTCAGCCGCCTTCTCCAGCAAGTGTGGCCGTTAGTTCGCCCCCCAGAGATGAGTCCGCGCAGCAGAGACTAGATGCACCAGTGGTGAGTGGCTTCGAGGGCTGCGTGAGTTTCGTGACGGATGACCGCTGCCCCCCTGGCGTGGATCGGCGAGGACAGCCCTGCTCTCCAGTTGCCGCTGCCGTTCGCCATTCCCCCAGCGGAGATCTGACGGCGCCGTCGAGGCTTTGCGCCTTCCCCACTCACCGGAGGGGGCAGCCCGTCCATCCCCAGCTGACGCCCACCCGCCTGGTGGATGCCCGGCCCGGCCGCGCGGTCTGGCTGCTGCGGGGGACGACGACGTCGCCCCGACGATTCTTCTCCCCCACCCCTCTGAGATAGGGATGGCTGCCGACGAGGACGCCCCAGACGGGCGCGCCGATCCCGACGGTCACCTCAGAGGAAGGCCCTGTGGCGCGATAACTGGGCGCAGGAGGGCCCCCCCCCCCCGCAGCATCTCCCCCTGGAGGCTTCATCGCCCCCCGTGCGTGTCAGAAGGTTGGGAACTCGTCGACCTCGAGGGGGAGGCATCCAGGTTCCCCAGGACAGAGAAGGAGGGTTTATCTCGCAGGATGGGCCCCCCCAGACCCCAGCAGGGAATGCAGCGTCGCGAGGGGCCCCGCGGCCCAGGGCCCCCCATGAGATCCGCGAAGGCCAGCAAGACCCCCCCCCCAGGCCCACCTCGGTGCGAGCGAGCGGCAGCCGCCGCAGGGGGGCACTGCAGGACCCCCCAGTACTACTGCCATGCTAGACTCGACGGGCGCCCCCACTAGAGGTGACCCACAGGCGCCGACTGGGGCTCCGCGAAGCGGCTACAGCGACGCCAGACCCCCGCCGAGTACGACCGACCCGCGTTGGCCTGACTCCCCCGCCCCTGCTCCTCTGACCTCCGCCTCCTACCCTCTGCTCCCTGGCTCGCCCCCCCCCCGGGCGGCCGCGAACCCGCGCGTTCTGGCGCCCCTGTCTCCGCGCCCCCCGGCTCTCCAAGGCGCGCGCGGGGCAGCGGCCCACCAGCAGCAGCGCCCAACTCGGGTATCGCTGACTTCCCTCCTGCGGGACAGCTTTCCATCCTACTGCGGGGCCCGCGAAGGGAACGACATGCTCGGCGGGGGCAGGCGCGAGACGCGGAAGCCGGGGTCAGGCAGGGCGCGAGCCTCCCGCAGGGCTCCGCCAGGGAGGGGGCCATGCTGGGCCCTCGCGCCGCGGGCCCGCGCGACACTGGCCGCGGCGGCTCTCTTACCGCGCTCCTTGAAGCCGCAGAGCGATCAGGAGGCCCCTGGCAGGAGCACGCTGCCGCCCCCGCGCGCTCGCAGGCACAGCGGAGTAACCTGGAAATCCTTGTCCACAGCGCGCGGCCAGGGCGCTGCCCACTCCGCGCCGCAGGGGGCCCAGGGGGCCCACCAGAGGACAGCGGCCAAGATTTTGAACTGGACGACGACGATATTGCCCAAAATTTGGCCAGCACCCTTTGCCATCTCGACGTCGCAGGCCTCGCCTGCCCCATCAGCGGATGCGGTTGCGAAACCAGGCTGAGGGGTCACATGCCGCGGTCAGGTGATAGCCCTCCGACTTCTCGCGGTGCTCTTCGACCCCGGGCCGGAGAGGAAGCCGCGCCCCCAGCCGAGCTCTACGATGGGGGTACCTCTGCCGCCGAGATGGAAGCGGCAGCGGCCGCGTACACAGCCATGGTCGAGGCAGCCGCGCACTGCGGCTTCATCTCCGCGGACCCCTCGCGGACGGAAGCAACGACCGACCCGCGCAGCCCGCGCTGGACGTCCCGGGCGCTGAGACCAACGTCCTGCGCCACTGCGCCTAAACCCTTGGGGCCCAGTCACCGTCGCTAGAGCCGCCCGAACCTTTGCCCGCGAGCACGGAGGGGCAGGAATCATGCATGTCCCAGGCCACGACCACCTCGCCAACTGGGCTCGCCTCCACGGCACTGCAGACTGCACGGAGCACGACGTCCTCTCCCTCACCCAGCCAGGGGAAGGCCCACTCCCGTGGGTTACTCCAGCCGTCCTCCGGCCGCATGTCCCGCTGGAGAATGGCGCGCCAGTCCTGCGCCAGGGGGCCCTCCTACCAACAACAGGTGGCAGACCCGACTCCTACTGGCCCTGGGGCCGCGCTGCCCGCAGACTGCTCATCGAGCCGTTCTTTGCCCCCACCCCTCAATGCGCCTGGTGCGGCACACGGGCCCTGAGAGACCCCGTTCCTGGGAAATGTCCTGCCTGCCACCGTATGGGCGCTCCGTGGAGAGCTCTCGGCGGCCTCCGCCCTGACGGCGCCAGACCTGCGCCCCTCCTCCCGCTGGGCGACCTCAGCCCCCGATTAGCCATTCAGCTCGCCAGAGCCGCCAGCAGATTCGCCCCAATCCAATGCCACTTGCATCCCGAGGACGCCGGAACCGTGGACTACACAGCCACGTGGCTGGTCACGGAACTCTTCGGAGCGTGGAGGCACATGACGGAGCACCGTGATGATATCCGCCTTGACCTTGACGTCGCGCACTCTGCATCCTTCGAGCGAGAAGCGGACGTTGTCACCGCTGCCGTCGCTTTGCCCAGGCTCTGCTTGGCACCCTTCGACTGGGCCGCCACCGCCTGTGCCGCGATGTGCAAAATCCACGCAGCCCGCAGCGGCTCGAACCGACCCCTCCTAATGGCCAGCGGCGTCATTCTGGGGGGCAGGTCCAGCCAAGCGGCGACAACCCGCGCGCCGGGGATCTGGCTCCCCACGGCGTCCCGAACCCTTGCCCTCAGCAGCCTCTCCTCAGTGCCAACTGACCCCGGTCCGCCCCCCTTGACCGCGTCCGACTTCTAGCGGTTCCTCCGACGC